GGAAACTCTGAGTCTTCACTGCATAACTTCTGTGTAACTAAACCGAAATGCGCAAAATTTTAATATATTGTACTTGCGTGAAAAAGTGTCCACAATAATATGGTAGGTAGCTGTACAATATAATATTACTAAACTAATAATATTTTTTTATAGAAAAAAAAAATTATAGGAATAAAAAACAAAAAAGATAAAAATTTTTGGATATTCTATAGAATAGGTAGACAATATAAAAAATAAGCTTCGCTAATGATTAGTAATCATTAATTTTTTAATAGCAGAGTTGTGGAGTTTGCTGAGTTTGCCCACCTATTCTATAGAATATCCAAATTTTTTATTATATTCTTTTAACTTTTATATTTTTATATAAATTTTTTTTGTTTCTAATTAAAAAAATTTTTTGCAAAATTTCACTATAGAATATATTCTATTCTAATTCTAACCCAACTCTAATTCTGCCTTAACGATAATTAGTTTTGATTTTATTGCACAATCTAGTTGGTCAATTACAATTTGGTAACTATCACCACCAGTAACAAATAGATTATTTCTTATAATAAAATATATATATAATTCTTTTAGAAAATTTTGTTATAATAAAAAAATATTAATTTTTTTGTCTCAATAAAAATTATAGAGTTAATAAATTTGTAATTATGGTTACTATAACTGTTACTAAGAACAGATGTAACATAAAATCAAAACAAAAACTTTTTTTCAAAAAAATTATTAATAACTCAAAATTTTGACTATAAAATTATCTTTTTTATTCTAACAAAACAAATTTCTTGCTAAATTTTGATATAAACTATGCCTTCCCTAACTTAAGCTTTATCCTAACTCTAACTCTGACCTTAACTATAACATTTTATTTTTATAAAAAAATTTGTATTGATAGTAATATTACACCTGATCTTAGTAATAGTTACAGTAACCTATGGTTACAAATTGATTAATTCAAAATTATATATCATAAAATATAAATATCAAAATTTCTAATCATATATAAAAATACAAAATATTTATTATTAAAACTTCAGATTTTTTACAATTTTAAAATTTTAGATTTTTATATTTTTATTATATAAATTTTGTAAAATTGAATTGCAAATTTTATGTTATATTAAGACTTATATTTTCTTATAAAAATAATTTTTTATTTTACATTGTCCTTAAAATATAATAGCACTACTATTCATAATTATAGTTAAGTTTTTTAAAAAATTTTATATTTAATTTTAAAGTCAAGTTTACAAATTTTATATATTTTACATATGAAATTTTGAATCATAAATTTCATAATTTAAAAAAAAATCAATCTCAATTTGTTTGACCGATGAAACTCATATATTATAGAATATAAATATTGAATTTACTAATCATATTAAAAAAATTTTTTTAAATAAAAAAAATATTGACTTTATATATAATATAAATTACAAATTTATGTGTTTTACTATAAAAAAACTATCGGGCGTTACTTTTGTTGGCTACTGTACAAATACCCTACTTCGTAAAAAATAATTCACACTTTGCTATATAGTTATATATTACAGTTTTGGTCAGGTGCGTGTTAAAATAAAAAATTGGAAACCCTTTCTTTACGTATTAAATAAAAATTGTTGCTTAAATGACATATTTTAGAACAGGGTGAAACCTGAGTTGGTTTTTTATTATAAGTGATAAGTGGATACGAAAAGGGTGAAATTCGCGTTTTTTAGATTACTCAGATCTGCAATTAATTAGAGTTAGGCGGTGGTGTGCATCAATAACGTAGCCAACTCTGATGGGGGTTTCACCCTGTCGTGATATTTTTATTTGTATCATGATAAAAGAAAAAAAAATTTTTTTTTTATTTCTACAATAATATGAATATAATTTTGATCAGGGTTTAAAGAGAACGCTGGTAGACCTTACTATCTGGAGAAAATCTGCAAAGCCGAAAATTTTTATTTGCTAATCCGGGTGGTGAGCATGGCCCACAAGGGTCAAGTTAAGGTATCGAATCCAGGCACTAGGGTATGTGTAAGGACTCAAGACATTAAGCCCTTACACAAACGGGTAGGACTAGGGTAACGCTACTACCCAGCCTTTGTACCCATGGGTGATCCATACTTGATACCTTATACGATATTGACGATCAAATTACAGAATTGATATGTACGTACAGTACGTGATCGATTATTTCGCAATAATTTTTTTAACCAATTTATCGTTATAGATTTTTAAATCGATTTCGTTCATTATTCTAGTTAGGGTAGTGCCGTTTATTATTTCAAGGAAGGATTAGCATCTATCACGCCTATAGCTTATATATAAAATAGTATGATTGGCTGCTTGTTTATCACGTAGGTAAAGGGATTTTGTCTTCTAATAAAAGGCAATTACGTAATAAACGGCACACCTTATTAAGAAAGAAAATTAAAGTTGATTATGACGACACACATATCACGTTTGATTTTGTTGTGTGTACAAATATGCAAGCGGAGATAAACCGAAATTTCAGATTACATAACTATTCTACTATAAATGCATCAAAAACAACAATATGATGGCATTAAGTTTTGTAGACCTCCGTTACGCTCCGGCAATTAAGTGGTGTAAATAAACGGACGAAAACACTAAACAGTTGATGATATTTTCTAATTTTCTTTTTGACTTTAACGATGTTTGTAAGACCAACAAATTTATGTTCAACAAGATCTATCACTAATAATAATAACATTTTGGGGTAAAAAAGAAAGAAAAAGCCAAAAACACGACAATTGACGTTCAGTGCAACAAAACTGAATACGTACGTACGTACGTACGTACTATCAATTACAAATTTATGTCGATGTTCCTTATTTGGTAAAATTAACTAAACGCCCAATTCTCGTACATAATATTATGTTTTCAACCTTTTTAAGAGCGTGAGATTTCTCAATCTTCGCAATCTTACAATTTTCACAATTTCGTAAAAAAAGAAAAAATGTGTTTAGGGTGGTGTTCAAACGTTTGGAGTGATTTTAAAGACTTTGTCCACTCAAGGGGAAATGTGGTTGACTTGGGTGTCGGTAAGCTTATAATAACTTTTTCATAGAATGTCTCTTAATAGTTAATTTGATAATATATGCGTATTTTTTTTGATTCCTTTGAAAAGGTATAATCATTGGTGCTGCTTTTACTATTGTGATTAACTCCTTTGTTGTAAGTATATATTAATATAAGATTATTTTTTTTTCGCTGAAAGATAGCTGACTTGTTAAAATCTTTAATTTTTATAGTCTGATATTATTTCTCCGCCTCTCGGTTTGGTTATTCATGGTATCTAAACCTATTTCATTTCCTTTGTCACGTGACGTATTGCATAACTAACTTGTTCACGTGAATGTGAATAGGATCGAACCTTGAAAACTATTTCATCGTACTCCGGCCCGGAAAAACACCAGACGCTACTTATAATACTCCGGCGGAGGCTCAAGCTGATGGAGCAGTGTTAGTAATAAATATATCAGAAATATCACTGAATTAGTTTTTGATAATATTAATTTATTTTTAATATTATTTTTAGGACTGAAAATGTTGGTAGATTTTTGAACAATGTTATCAACTTTATAATTATTGCATTTATTTTATTCTGGATAATTTGGGGTACGTTTATTCAATGACCAGGTTACCGTGATAAAAATCATACGGTCAAGGATTGATTTTTTTTTTTTTTAATATGTACATAGGTTATGATAAATTTAAAAAATTGAGACAAAAACATGAAGCCGCAACTACTGAAACTTGTCCTTGGTGTTCAGCCAAGATTCCTGTAAATTCCGTTAAATGCCAATTCTGTACTAGTTATATAAAGGAAAAGATACCTCCCCAATATAAAAGAGACGCAAATGATAACACTCTGATTGATTTACAAGAATCCTAAATTACTTTTTTGCGCTGTTTTAGTGAAGTGGTGTTGATTATTTCTTATATAAGTTAGGTGTTGAGAATCTTTTATATTAAACAAAAATTGTTTGTAAGTACGCAACATGTATTCTATAACCTTGCATTTTATTCAATAAATTTACGGTATTTTATTTGTACTATATTATCTATATATACTATATGTTGTACGTCGGAATGGACTTGAGTTGATTTCAAATAAACATAAACATATTCGAGTTATTAAGAATTCAAAATATTTTGTATATGGGAAAAGGGAGGCATTGGGACAATCATGTGATTTTGAGAAAATCACGATTTAAATCGTCACATGATTAATTCTAATATAGTAACAACGAAGAAAATTTTTCCAAACTAAAAATATTTTTAGAAAGATAAAGCTTATAAGCAAACTATTATTATAAAATCTCAAAATCTGTTTGGTTCCCCTTTTGCTGTGGGGGTCCATATGTTTTCTTTGGGACTTGTCATTTTAGGATAAGGCTTATAGCTAATTAAATTAAAAGCATTACATAAGTGTTTACATTTATGGTTACTAGGATGACAACTACTACCACAGAGCAAATTCATGTTTTTACTTTTCAGCAATTGCTGTCGTATCTGAAGTTACAATTTATTTGAAGTTGTAGCACCTGACTAGAATTAAGTCCCTGAAATTAGATCTTCATGCATGTAATTCTAGTCAGGTGCTACTTAGAAATCAAAGGCTTCACACGCAGGATTCGATTATCTGATAGAATTGTAAAGAATGAAAAAAAATTATAGAAATTTGCATTTAAATATTTTATGATAAGATTAACATACTCTATCATTACGTCAATCAATTACACATTTATTACGTACAGCATCAAATTTAGAATCAATTTTAAGTTGCTTTTAGATTTTCGGACTACATTTGGAATTCCGTTTCAACCTAAGTAGGTTCTAAATCTACAATAATTCCATTCCCAACGTACAAAATTATAAGCATGCCCCAAGACCCAAGGACATGTTTTTGTTATAAAGATAAAAATTTCAGAAATTTGCAAAGTTATATATAATAAAGTATTGACATTATTGTATTAATATGTTTTATCTTTTTTTTTTTTTGTTTTTTGTGCAAAATAATAAAATTCTATATTATATATTTAAATATTTGCTAAAAATTGGTAAATTTTGATAAAATGAATTTTTTAACCATTATATTTATATCCATCCACCCATATATAACTTAACCAAAAGTGAATAACTAAATATATAAAAAAATAAATATATTAATATTATTATCAAATACTACATGAAATTCACTTTACAGACTGTCATTTCATTCACAGGTCATTCAACTAAAATTATTTATCAGTTATGGTACGTAACAATTTATTAGTTTTAGCATATAATTGCACGTACGTACGTGATAATAACTTGTCGATAAAATACAGTAATACAGACCAAATATCCTATTTCAAAATTCAGCAAGTGCAAATAAATAATGATATCTTCATCACGATTAGATCGATTGCTGTCGCTCAAATAATCCGAATTTGTCATGATATCACGAGTCGAAATATATTATACAATTGAAAACAAGCGTGTTTTTGCTGATTGGAATATTAGATACATTCGCATTTATAAATAGTAACTTAAGTTTTGTGACTTGAATAACTCGAATAAATTGACTTAACATGCGACAAAACACTATCTTCTAAAAACTTCTAAAAGCGTTTTGAATGATTATGTTGTTTACAGTGGCTAAAATCATCCTGAAAACATAAATATGGAATGCGTTAGCAATGTGTGCAAAATATTTTATTACAATCAGTGTTGGCATTTGGACTATGTCCAATAAAAATTTATTTGGACATGAGCAAATATGGATATAGATACGTAATCCAAATCAATGTTTACAAAAAAAATTTTAAAAAAGTATCCTGGGTATGATTCACTCATGTCTTTGCCAAATTCTTTCGAAATGGTACCCGTATTTTACGTTCAATGACTTTCTATTCGAAATATTTCAAAATAGTAAGCTTCGATTTTTATTTGGACTAAGTATCTATGTCCAATAATGGTAGATGTTCATGTCCATTAGTCCATATTGTCTATGTCTATGTTCTGCAAACACTGATTACAATTACATCAAGAAATAAACACCCTCACTACATCTTTTTTTATCTTTAATACTATATTAACAGAAGCAATTTAGCTATTTTGCTGTCCTAATATCATAAAAAAGTGTAGTAAGAAGATTATTTCAGTGTAACAAAGTATAGATATAATACGACAGGGTGAACCTGAGTCACCAGCTAGTATAATTCGCTATGTAGAGTGAAATCTGCTATGTAGTTCACATGAAGGTTAAAATCTGCTTTTGTATAATAAAAACAATAGCAAAACTCGAATTTCACCCTAACCCTAATCCAAACTCAGATTTCACTCTATATAACGAATTTTACTAGCTGGTAACTCAGGTTTCACCCTGTTCTAATATAATTAATTATAAAAAGAATATTAACCTAATCTGAGACTGAAATATGCCAAAGTAATGTTAATTAATGTAGTGTAGCTAGGAATTAGACAAATATTATCAACGCATGTCTATAATTCACTTACGTTTAGTGGGTCAGTCGATTCTGATAAACTATAGCAAATAAAATGAATATTAAATATATTTAAATTATAAAATACTTTAACATTAGACCTTTTGTACTTACTATATCTCGAGTCGGTCATGATTAGTTTGGGTAAATCTCCACAATATATACTCTTCAGCTTTATTACAGTCAGAACCTCTTAATATTTGGTTAATGACAAAATATGATGAAAATATTAGTACAATTGTGTACAATATGTAAATTGTGCATACATTAAATTAAGATACCTGAATATTCTGAAAAATAATTTTCGAGAGGGACTTGATACAGTTTAGTTTTAAATAAATCACTTTTGTTTAGAATCAAAATTATAGAAGTTCGAAAGAGCCATCGGTTATAAACTATTGATTCGAATAATTGAAGACTCTTCATCAGTCGGTTCTACAATGTGTAAGGGTTAGTTCTTGAAAATTTCCAATAGAGATTTGTAAATGACAAGACACCTCACCTAATTCATCTTGATCGTATTCGTCGAGAGCGACACAAAAGACAATAGAGGTTACGAATTCGAAATAATGAAGAAATTTTCTTTGATATAATGTTTTGTCTACATCAAGCATACTAATACGGGTCCAGAAAATAGAATGTCAAATTTTAAACCAAGTGAATAAGAATATGTATAATATTAAAATAAGTTTTCATACAGTATGTTGTATTGACCAATGTTAATGCTTATTTCAGATACAGATTTTTTGATTTGCGACCTAAGGATATTATCTTCATTTGGAACGTAATTCCGAAGTTCAATTCTCCTAACTGCATCCAAAAAGCTAGAAAAATAGTTAAGATGAATAAATACTTATATTTGACCGATTATGAAATATACTCACTAAGGTGCTGAATCCATCAAATAAAAATGGTGTTTCTTAGCAAGAACTTCTGATATTATCAGATCATTCTATAATGAATTAATGGCTTCAACTATTTCTGGACTTAGTTGAAATTCAGTGTTAGATTCGACATTATACCCAATAATTATATCCATGTAAACCTAAAAAAAAAAAAAATAATAATATTCATATATAATTTCATTTTTGCTAATTATATTACAAGAAATATGGAAAACGTATGTACTTTATTTATTGTTTTCTTGGGCTCTAACTGAAATTTTTTAATAGCATAAACAATTGCTTGTACAGAGTGTATAAGGTTTTCATAAACTGCTATCTGACATAGTGATAATTCTTCCTCCCATGAATAATCATCCTGCATCAATTTCATATATTTGGTTATCGTCGATTTTTCTGATTTATTGAAACCTAAAAGATGACATTATACTATTAATTTTAAGGCTCACTTGAAAAAAACGAGTATTATTTTCTTTGTAGCAAATGATTATAATAGACAAGGTTTCGTTCCCATTTTAAAACACAAAATACCTATCAAGAGAAGTTTAATTTCTTTCTCAGATTTTATTTTGTCTTCTTTAATCTGTTCATCAATTTGATCACTTCGTAGTTGCAATTCTTTCGCTTCTGCAGACCAATGTAAGCCCATGATACTGTTTTGTATATACTAATTTTTTTGTTTTTTGAAGACGAATATTTTTCTGTAGTACATTTATTAATTAAATATTACAATTTGTATAACTTTAGATTTGGTTTGTCCTCACAACATTTACATTTTATTAATTTTCCTTCCAAGGTTTAAGTTCTGCAACAAAGACAAGTATAACATGAAAATTAAAAAAACAACTATATTTTTTCTGAAGAATCATATTTATTTTATAAAAATTACTTTCTGTGTACTAACAAAAAAAAAATTCATTGCAAAATTTGGTTGTAACATTATTCCTAACCTATTACAAACCCTAAAAGATATCACAATTTTCAATAAAGTTAGAGCTGCTGGTACAGGTGGTGCACCACAGGGATGATAAATGACATGGTCATTTGATCAAAATTTAAATAACCCCAAGTTATCAAATAATGACCAGGTTATTTGCATGTAGCTATATATTAAAATTAAAAATTTATTAAGTAAATTAATATTTTATGCCTTAAGCAGAGTTGTTCAGGATAATAAATTGCGTGTATTTTGAAAATTTCATTACCTTTTTATTAATTACTTTCGAATCTTACTTTTATACGAAAAAATTTATAAATGCAAGATGCGGAAGTGAATTAATAAAAAGTTATTCAATTTACATAAAAAATTTCAGAACATATGCAATTTATTATCCCAAACAACTTAAGGCATAAATATTTTTTGATATATAGCTGATTATATTTAATTTTGATTGGTGGTTGGTTAAAAAGTATTAGAATATTAATTAACATAGGGTAATAACCTTCTAAGGTCATTTGGGCCTTGAAATAACATAGTCATTTGGGTCATTTGGGTCATTTTAGGTTATTTACCATCCCTGGTGCACCATGGTGCGCTATTAAAATTAAAATTATATCTGCACCAGCAATCCTAAAATAAAGTGACATTTAAATCAGTACAAATAAATCCGAGTGTTTACTTGTTTAACTATTTTTAGTATTCGGATATTGATTAAAAAATTTAAATATTACAACAAGAATCGGAGATTAGCATAAATTCAATACGCATATGGTGGTTAATATTATACATAAGCTTAAGGTTGAAATTTTAGTGCTGAGTTTGCATATCTTTTTTTTCTCTTTGGCAGCCTCGTCGATATCTTTATTAAGTTATATATATATATATCTATCTAGTTATACATATTATAGATTCGACATTCCCCGGCTACTTCTAAGAGCGCCCAGGAGCGGTCTGCAGGATTTATCCACATCGGAGGGCTATACCAAGCTAGCCTAGGAGACCATACCAGAAGACCCACCCAAAATGTTTCGAAAATCATGTGATATTGTCAATTTATCATGATTAGGATCATTATATTAATTGATTTAGTAAGTGATTTTTTTTCTTCGATTCTTCAAAATAAAAGGCGATCGTTGCAATCTCGACAAACCAAGTGATTCTTTTAAAAGCATAAAATCCAATAAACACAATATTCTAAAATATACATTGATTGCCGTAACCAAATTTCCAAACGAAAATAAATGAATGAAAATCGAAATAAAATTATAAAAACTAATCAAGAAAATGCAATTGCACCAGAAAACTTTGTAAATTTTATTTTAATGCTCTTCCAGAAGACTATAACTCTGATTATTTATTTGAGCAAAAAGTTTTTATAATTCTGAATCCAGAACGCAACAAAAAAAATTATTGAGGAAACATAATAAATCCAAATAGTAACAAATAATCGATATTATTAACAAAAACTTTGAGCCATTGCATAAATTGGAGGAAAATTATTATCATTTTAAAAAGCAATGGAATCTTCCAAATACTTAGAAAAACCGTATTCATAATACTTTCTGGTTGCAATAAATATTACGTTTATTGAGTTATTCGAAATAAAAATAAAATGATTAATCTATTGCTTATCGTTATTATTTTGTTAGTCTATAATTTTTTTTGTATTTTTTGTTTGATGAGTTGTGGTTGAAGTAAAGTTTCGGGTGAATATAAAGGAGTTTCAGTTAAAGGTTCGGTTGAAGTTGTTTCGATTACTACGCGAGGTTGAGGTTCGGTTGTAGGGCGCATTGAGGTTTTTTGTGTTTTTTTTCGATTGGTTACATGAATTTTTATAGTCATGATTAGGGTGTGCAATGGGCCGGGCCAAACCCGGCAATTTGCGGGTTGGGTTGGGCTCGGGCCGGGCCTGGGCTCAAAATTTTACAGCTATTATCATTATTTCTGGGACACCTAAAGAATTTTCAGATGACCGAAATATCCTCTGTTTCATTCGGTAAATTACCTAGCTTTCTGGAAATTACATCGCTGTCTTCGGACTGAAGGTCCGGAGACAGCGATATAGTTTCCGAGAAGTTAGGTAATTTACCGAATGAAACAGAGGATATTTCGGTCATCTGAAAATTCTTTAGGTGTCCCAGAAATAATGATAATAGCTGTAAGCCCGTGATTAATTGGGCCGGGTTCGGGCCGGGCTTGTAAAATAATGGGCCGGGCCCGGGTATTATAAAGAGACCCGATAAGGCCCAGTAATACCCATTAAAAAATATACAGTGCCTATTGGTCACAGGCTATTATGTGTTTACAGCTTTCATAATGCCTGATAAAAATTGACCAGCCGATTCGATTAAGTTTGTAATTTCGGTGTAATAAATAAAATTACAAAATTGTACGTATAAGTACGTACGTATGTGCGTAACTTTTACATCAAATAGCTAATAATGCATTATCATATTATTATTATGAAGGTTTTACCAGCACTACTAGACTTTATGTGCCAACTCTATGAAATTTTGGTCAACGTTATTTACATACAAAAACTACATACATACAAAAATTACATTCCAGAAACGTACATGTAAAATTACGCAAGTTTCTACCCCTTATATAAAAGACATGATACTTGTTCTGCAGATAATTTTAATATTATAAAAGTCGACACGTTCAATACTATTAAATTTTCATTTGAACACTTGCCCAACATATTTAGCGCGCTTAGTTTGTGCGGAAATATATATAATTACTATGTATGTAACGTAATTTATATGCCCGAAATCAATAACTTAATCGGATCAGCCGAAAAATTATTCGGTCAATTTTTATCAGGTGTTCCAGGAATTATGAAAATAGCTGTAAATTACAGCTGTTTTCATTATTTTTGGGACATCTGGCAAAAAATTGACCGAATGAATGTTTGGCCGATTCGATAAGTTTTTGATTTGAGCGTGATTAGTAATATAATGATAATGATATGTATTTCATAGCAAAAATACACACAATATTACATAATCGCTCATTGCCGAAATTAAAATTTTATCGAATCGGCCAAACAATCATTCGGACAATTTTTTACCAGATGTCCCAAAAATAATGAAAACAACTGTTAAAATTTTACTTCGATTTTTGAATTATAGTGATACCCGGCCTTTATAATATTTTGTTATCTACAGTTATTTTTATAATTCCTGGAACACCTGATAAAAATTGGCTGAAT